CATACACACCTTATCACTCAACTGCATTTTATTTCAAGTTTTAAAATTGCAACCACTGTACACTTCCCTAGAGACATTTTAAGGCCTTGAAAGTCAGTGAAACAAATCTAAAATGTCACATAAGACCGAGTCTAACGATGTAGTTTCTTGAAGTCCAGAGGTCCCCTAAACAGCACTTACTGTACTTGTAAATTCAGGTAACACCAAATGCCTAACTACCTTCAAATCATTCTGTATATTTCTACCATGTATAATCTTGTCTAACAGGGAACACTACCTGCAGGAAACAGTGCTGCAACATTTTTTTTCCACAGATCAGAATCTGAACTAGCTTATGTGCAGTTTCACAGTAGCCTGAAACGTCAAGATTTCCTGCCCCAAAGTCTTAAGAACTTCATCTGAACACAATGTTAGTATTACTTCTGCATTGTATTTTCCTGTTACATCTTGCACTAGAATAAGGTAGTATTTGGTTTGCAGACTTAACATACATACAAAGGCTAAAGTATTTAGCGATTAGGGGAGGTTCCTGATGACTAGAGAAAAACAGTTTTAATGCCTGTCTTCAAGAAGGAGGATCTGAGAAACTACAGGCCCATCAGTCTAGCCTCAGTCCCCAGGAAGGTTACAGAGCAAGTCTCCCTGGGAGCCACTGCCAAGCACAAGAAGGATAGGAGGATGATTGGGAACAGCAGCATGGATTTAGCAAGGGCAAATCATGCCTGACAAACACGATTGCTTTCTACAACAAGATGACTACCTGTGTGGGCAAGGTGAAATCAGTGGATGTCATATACCTTGACTTTAGCAAAGTCTCCCACCAAGGTGGATAGAAAAGTCCAACCAGGATGCAGATTGCTAGCAATGTCCCCACAGGCTAATATTAGGGACAATACTGTTTGATGTCTTTAATAAAACTCAGGAAGTTCACATTTTGCCTTGCTGGCACACACAGCTTTTGCTTTCCCTATTAAGCTGTCTTTATCTCAACCCACGAGTTTTCTCACTTTCACCCTTCTGATTCTCCCTCCCCCCCATTGGGGGGAAGCGAGCGAGTGGCTGTGTGGGGCTGAGCTGCCTACAACCCACAACAACAGTTATATGCTGAAAAGGAGGGCTGTTATTTAGAGGCAACTAACAGACTGAAAAAAACAGGCTGACAGGAACCTCATCAAGTTCAACACATGCAAACACGAAGTCCTGCACCTTGGACAGAATAACCCCTTGCAACAGTACAGGCTATGGACTGATGAAAAATTCAGTTAAGTATAAGAACATAAAAGAAAAAAAAAAAAAAAAAGAGCATGAGTATGGTCAAACACGTGGAACAAGTTGCCCAAAGGGGTTGTGAAGATACTAAAGCTGAACAAGCCTCAGCACCATGATCTAATGGTACCTGCTTGATACAGGGGAGTTCAACCAGATCACCTTCAGAGGTCCTGTGCAAACCAAGTTAGTCAATAATCCTGTGTAATTACAGATAACATCCCCAGAGATAAGACATTAAAAAAAAAAGACAAGGCTGTTCTACCAGTAAAATCTATTGTTTCAAATTGAGACAAACATTATGTCTTAAGATCAGTTACATAAATTCAAAATTAAGTTTCTCGCTTGTGCTTTGAACTATGTAATACAAAAATCCTGTTTAAAACAATAGCAAAAGCAGCAGCATCCAAAAATCATAAAATAAATCCAAAAGACAGTATTTTCTATAATTAATCTTTATTCCTCAACCAGTTTAGCATAGTCTTAGACAAGTCAATTCATCTCTCTCTCTAACAGCAAGTGTTTTCTACCTCAGAGAGGGCAAGTAACAGTGAACTGAACTTGTTCTTCCTATTGAACTGAGAAAGCATTCCTGGATCATAAGACTAATGATTCCTCTAAAGTTGTAACTATATTAACTATGAAAATCAACAGAACAAGAGCCTTTACATAAAAGCCAGAGTCATTGACAAATAGCTCTTAAATATGTCACCCATCATCTTTGTTCATTAAGACTTACCATGATTTTTTGATTTTTTTAAAGTGACAGACACTAGGAGACAGGAAAAAAAAGATAAATTGAAATGGCAGCAATCGTTTCTGCTATTTGATCATTGAAAAAGACTCATGCTACATCAACTAGAAATAAAATATGATTTGCTCTGTCTAGTAAATAAAAACTGATGAAGGCAGATTTTTTTTTCACCACCCAAGATACAATTACTGTCCACTAATAATGACTTACAAGTCAAAGATAACTTAAATAATTGAGAACTACGGAAAAACATTTTTAATTTGTCTACTTCTAGATAAACATCAGAAAAAAAATATTGTGGAATATATTCAAGTCTAATTGTGTATTGGCATATAGTCCTTTAAGAAAGGACTTGCCAAATAGAGATATGGACTCTATAGGTTTTGTTAAACACAACAGAAAAAATCCATGTGTAACACAGAAGATGTAGTACTGAGCCATAATACATCCTGGCAGAAAAGTAACATGAATATATACTACACAAACGCAGAAGTAGCACCCATCAAAATAACACAGGAAGACAGTAGTGAAGATGGTCTTGCAAACAAAATAAGGAAACATAACAACACAGTTTGACTTGAGCTAACTATATTACGTTTGGTTTTTTTTTCATTTTCAAGCACTTTATGAATACTGGGTAAGTAATTTGATTTAGTAGCAGATAAAGGCTTTTTTTGTTACTTCTTCTAACAAAATTTGTGTTTTCAATGGCAAGTGCTGCAACTCATCGGTATGAAACGATGGCAAGCAACATGTTCAGGAAGACCACTCCTTCAACCAATGAAGATGAAACACACTGAATGATAACAGCTTGGTGGCCTTCGTTCTAATGAGAAAATATGAAGTCCTCCATCTTTCAAATCACAAGCCAGCAGACAGCAAATAAGGAGGAGAAAAACCAGACATAGAAACTTTACCTTAAATCTACCCTAGATATGCCTCAGATTGCAAACGGTATTTTAAGCAGCGATAAAGCTCCACGGGGAGCAATGGTATCAAGGTAAAAATTACGTGATGCAAAAAAGAAAGGAAAGGAAAAAAGAAAATTAAAGGAAACACAAAGAAAGGGAAAGGTCAGTTACTTTTTGTGGATGGATGCCAAAGCAATCATTTCAATTATCTTGATAATTTCTAAATAAAACAATATAACTTTAATCCCAGGTTTCCATTCCAAAATAGAAGAACTAAGAAAAAGTCACAGAGAGGGTTATACTTGAAGAGATTACAGAACAATGTACCGGAAAGGATTTCAGAGAAAAGAATTTAAGACTATTTAGAAAAACTGACTAGCAGATTTTACAAACTAGACACGGTTATCTAAGAGACACACAGATACAGTGTACTTCTAGCAACTTTCTGAACCTGAGCATTTGAAGAACGGACACCTAAATCTTTTTCTAGGTCAGCAAGAACTCTGTTTGGTAGTTGGTGCCTTAAAGTCAGCATTGGCTGAGAAACATGGTGTTCTCATTTTGTACTAACCTTAATTTCTTGATAGGTAACAACACTACTGCACAGGAAATATTCTCCAAACTCTTCATTTTTTGTGATCAGCGGGGGTAGGGGAGTTGGGGAAAAATCTATATGACATTCAAGAAAAACCTCTGACAAAAAGAACTTTCATCTTAAAGAACAACTAAAACATGTCCATGGTCCTAAAGGCTACAGACAAAAACAGGTACTCCTAGCCTTGATTCTGTCAAGCTCTTAAAGTAGTAAGAACCATACATACTCAGTGCAGTCATCCTGCAAGTTTCATTGGCATGGAAATCATAACTAAAACATTTCCTAATGCACTATAACTTGCTGAGGTGCAAGTCTTGCCTAACCTAAGAAAGTTATAAGTTTTTAAACCAAATGAGTTACTCAATGCTGGCTTTATAATTGGCATTTCTCAGGCAGCCGCTTCCAGGTGATCAGTGTTTACAAGCTCAACACATATGAAAGCAGTTTCTTTATAAAATCCCTGCTTAACTGACTTGCTATAACCTTTGAACCATGCATTAGTTTAAACAATTATGAGCATATCACACCCCCTTACGTATAGATAAGGATAAATGGTACACTAGTGACCACAGGCATGTTCTTATCACAGTAAGGTTAACAACAGAGGTAAGGAAGTTACCAAATGTAACACAAGTGAACAATTTATACGCATATAGGTCATTTCCACTGGGAACATGCTATAATTTTTAAAAACCTATTTATAGTTTTGAGAAATCAGAGATTACCAAGAAAGCAAGAGCGGCAGAACAAGTATCAAGCCAGTTGACAGAAGCAAGGTAGTAAGAAAGTGCATTATGGAGCAAGAGTGCAGGCAAACGGTCAAGTTGCCATTTGCTAGAACTACAACAGTGGGTATTCCTAGCTGCTAAAAGTGAGATGGTTGTATTAGTTTAAAAACAAACTTTGAATGCTTGTTTTTACTTCTACTTTAATGTCTGTGTGTGCGCTTCTAATACTATCTGTTATCAGATATAAGCAATGAACAGGAACTCCTAGCTTTAGGACATGACCAGAAAAATCTCAAGCAAAGAACATGTATGCTGCAAGCATGGAAAGTCCCAGGGTAGTAAGTTCCAGTGTGAAAGTTCAAGTTCACCTGATATTAAAACTGACTGCAGACCAAGAATTCAGTCCTAAGGTTTTTCTGACTTTGAAGATGCATGTGCAGATTAGCTAGAAGTCTCCTGTCATTCACTACTGCTAAGATAAGAAGCCTAAAACATAGCTCCTAACTGAACACTTCAAAGAAATGATGGAAGAGTGGTAAGGTTACCTTACACATGTACTAAACTGAAAGAAGAGTGGAAGACAGGAAAGAGTAATCAGTCACCACTGTACATGATGATGACAAAACTGGGAATGGCTAGGAAGTACGGAATAAGAACATATGACTTCTCAAAATGGAGATGAAGACTTACTTACAGAAAGGAAGCAATAAGGAATGTGTAAAACTCCGCCCTTCTCCCACACTTACCCGACTACCTCAACAGCATCATTAAGATAGGGATCAACTATCATCTCCTTTGAAACGTTCCAATCTCCATCTGCAGCGATGATGCCAATGTTCCTTAGACCCAGTCTGTCCAAAGATTGTCGAAGTACCTTAGTAACAGATAACACCACTTAAAGTACAGCCTTCATTAACCAGACAACACAAAAATTTAAGACTGAAAACAACTTAAGAACTGTAGGAGGAGTTGGTGGAAGCATTTGTCTTCAGACCAAGATGGATAAGAAAAGTTCTCACTTCTCAAAGGAGAGCCATAATGACAACTAAGACAAAGTTAACGATAAGTATTTTTAACACCGAAGGGTTATCTATGACATTAGATAGCCATTACACAAAAATGGGCTTCTCATCAGTTGGATTACTTTTGACACCCTATGTGCATACGTGTACTCCACTCGGACACTCTCAACATACTGACTCTATCCATTGCATGCATGTAATTCATTACATATGAGTAATGGATTTATCATAAAGTCAGTCATGTTAAGCTGGTCTAAAAATGATGACTGGCTGGACTGTGGAAGTGGACATACCTCCACAAGTGATCAGAAGTGAAAGTTAACCTGATCCCAAAAAAAGTATATTGAGAAAACAGGGATTGACGTTTTAAAATAGAAAAGACCTTGTAATCATGCAGTTCTCTACAAGAACATAAATCTTTGCCAAACATTTGTCCTTTTCAAGTGAAGAGCACCTAAGCATTCTTTTCACAAGCGATTTTATTGAACAAAAAAAATCCTTCATGTTGCAAGTGTCTGATATTTAAGATTACCCACTACTTGGCTCTCACATATGTCTCACTAATTTTCAGGAACATAATGCATGGAATGCAAATTGCATATTTACAACAAAACTGAGGGCAGTCAACTTTGAATTTAAACATGCCAGCAGAAGAGAATTCCTATTCCGTCTTTCCAGCTTCTCCTTACTATTTCACTGTCAAAGATGATAAACCTCTCACATCTGCCTGTGGAACTTCTTAGATAAAATATACCCAGGCAAAATATACCCAGCTCTAACAGTTAAGAATGAACAGGCTTACACAGGGCTGGTATTATACAAGGATGTTTTATCTGAACACTCAAAAAAAAAATTTTAGAAAAGTATTTTCAGCAGCTTCCACATACAGTTGCATCTGAAAAAGGACATCAGTCCACAGTCTAAAATCCTTTTTTGAATCTTGGATATAAAAGAATTATGTACTACGGGCTGTATATATATGCATGCATAAGAAAGATTTTTCCAACCATTTGAAGATCAGTAGGCATGAATCCTTAAATAATTTCTTGTAATAGCCCTGCAGCAATGTGAAGGAGAATAGGGAGCATTTCTATTTTGACATGTAGTCAAATAAGGACACAAAGCAAAGTCCAAGTGTTGGTGACAATGAAAGCCTAGATCTAAAGGACATAAAACTTATTAAGAAGAAGAAAAGTAGCAATGAAGTTCTGTTCAGCTGCTTGAAGGCTTTGAAGCATAAAGTTTACCAGAAGAAAAATTCATAATGGTAGAAATACTTAGAGTACGGTCCTTGCAATTTAAAGCTTTCTAGCTAGCTAGACATTCGGAAAAACTGCCTAAGCATAGAGATAGTTCAGAAGAACAAAATGACTAGAAAGGTTGCAGAACTTCCATGTTGAAAGATAAGTACCAAGGACACAGAACTGTAGACACTCAAAATGCACTCCATAATAACATATGTAGAATGGTTCCCCCACACCCAGTATTCATGTTTATATACAAATACTCCTTAAATTTTAGGGTTAGTTTAAGATGACAGTATTTTAAAATATAATTGGAAGAACAGGATCTTCTTGAATAAGAATTTATAAGCAATAGAATCATCATTTCTTTTTTTATTTTTTCTACTTAATAAGAAACATAAACTAGCGCCTTAGCGGATGAAGTAACTAAAATAACTCCTTACAAATAAAAATTTAGCAAGATAACTAAGCATTTATCTATGTCATGTATTTGTCAGACATTACAGAAAATCTTTGGTGTACAACAGCACACCTCAGTAAACAGACCTTTTTCGAAACGGCGGACTGCAAACAGAGCTATCATGCTGATTAGAGAAGAGATGCCACGCAACACTCCAGAGTGTAAGAGAATGAATGGTAAAACAGGTGTTAAATAAAAAGCCTTCTATCAACTAACATACAGCGGAGGGAAGGCTGGCACTTTTCAGCAAATATTTGGGTGATTTTAAGATCAAATTTTAAACTAAACATTTAGCTCTAGAAACCAAAAGCTTATTCCCAATTCAACAGCATTTAAAAAGCTAACAAGTAGAATGCCGCACCTACACTCGACAGTTTGTTCTCCACATTCATTCTCCCCACATTAGGAAGCCAAGACAAACAGATGAGAAAGCCTCCAGGTGACATGACATAGGACTGAGCAAAATAGAACATTTCTATTTCTTACAAGACATACAGAAAGCCAGAAAACCAGTTTTAAAAAAAGAGCCGATCAGTGATATAGGGAAATAAAATTAGTATTTTATCTATAGTAAGATCTGCCTTCTCTCTCTGATGATTCTTTCTACAAAGGGTTCAGTCTCATAAGCATTCCAAGCAACATGCAGTCAGTGAAGAAATAAAACATGCAGCTCAAAAAAAAAAGTTCTCACTATTTATCTTCCATCTTACTTGCATTGTTTTATTCCAGCCTGCAAACAAGTGTTTTCAGTTCTGTTTGGTTTTGCTTCTATAACATACATATACCGAACAACTAGAGATTTCTACTTGAAGTCCACACACACATACATTTCCCCCTCCTCCCCTACCAGTATAACTTACCTATGATTAGGACTATCCTTTAGGAGACTACTAGTATCCTTAGTGATTTCTCCATTAGCCTATACCTGACTAGTGAACCACTTCTCGTTTTGAAAAAGAAAAGTCTGGAACCTACATTGCCTGAGGCTAAATATAACAGAAAACTTCTAGTTCCCAAGGGTTTTTTGTAATAAAGAGAGTACCCTATGAACTCATTTCCTAGCTTTCAAAAGTTAGGCTATGGTTTGTGCTGAACACACATTGCGATAGGCTCTTTTAAGAGGATTCTAAGCACACCCACTGAACAAGTTTAGACAGGGATTTAAGTAGCTTCACTAGCAAAATCTGAAGCCTCTACACATCCACCAGAGTTTTGTTACTTAACACGCGCAAAGAAACAAGACACCTTGACATAGATGTCAAGATATCCTGCTGTGTCACACTTCAGTGTATTTGTGTTTTCTCTGGAAGGGATTTTGTAAGTCACTTGAAACCTCTAGTGCCAAACCTCTGTGTCCAAAAGGAACTAATGGCCTAGCAGCCTACAAAAGTGAGCGTCTAGAAAATGAAACCTTTAATGAAATTAGTTGTGGAGCAAAGTATATGTAACAGAATTTGGTGTAAGGCATGATAAGACTTGGAAACTAAGTTACTGTGGTGGCAGTGGACCTGGTAAATCAGTTTAAAATACATGGTTGATTAACATATTTGTTAACAAGAAACCCATAAAGCCGGATATAAGGTATTCCTCTTTCTCTGTACAAGGTATATGACCAGAACAGAGCTTTCTGCCAGTGCTTCCTGCCCTTCCTCAGTCAAAGCACTGCACAAATCATAGGAAACAGCTATAAGTGTATTCATCTAAATCTACATTCTAGGAAATATAATTTTAAAAAGAAATGTTTTGTAGGCGAGCATTCTCAGTTTTCAGGAGTAGGCAGAATTTTTTATATGCCAGCCTCATGAAAGATACTTAAAGATACTTTTTTGCTCTTATTGCAATGTCAAGTTTAACTATTGTACGCCATTTCCTGTACCATTCTACTAAAACTAATCATTGAACAAAATAACTACAGAAGTTGCCAAGGACAAATGATGTGACTAACCTCATCCAGTGTACACAAACTGTAAGAACCAAAACTTTCCTAATAGCCACTACTTGACTAATTGTAAGCAGATGGGATCCAATCCCTGCTGAGTTCTGAAAAAAAAAAAAATCAGCAGCTTTTCTACACACTCAATTTAACTCTTATTTGCTCTTAAGAATAGGTAATGCTATTGCTTCTTAGCCTTGAAGTGGCAACAAGGAAATGAACAAAGCAGAAGCTTGTACTTAAGATTCCACTTCAACATAACAAAACAAACGGAAGTGAGTTTTCAAAGAAGGGCAGGAGGGCAGCAGGAGCAGGCAGCAGTGAGAGATATTAGAGATATCTCGAGGTTGGTTATGTGAAATACCGTGTTCCTCCAACTCTTTTCGGACAGAGGTACTGAATTTTGCACAGCTAAAAACACAAAGCCTTTATTATGTTTTCCATAAAATAAGAACCTGGAGTTTTATAGCAATAATCTAAGGATATTATATCCACTAGAACTTTGCTACAGAATTTTAAGTAATTCTAGATCATGGACTTATAACTATATCCAAGCCAGTACAAAGATGACGAATTTGTATGATTTCAGTAGCATCAACTGGTGCTTCCATTAAAATGTAGAGGTCCTAAATATTTAGCGTACACTGACACACTTAAAGTTCAAAATAACAGTTTCAGACACACAATAAAAAAAAAAATCTAGAGATCTGATCCTTAGTATTCCATGCCTGCAACTACAAGAAACAGAGTTCAGTAAGTGAAGTAGTTGCAGGATCAAGGTCCCTTTCCTAGGCAAATTCAGAAACGCTAACTGTTTACATATGATAACAAAGACAAACGTTTTACTTTAGAGAAATAAGAAAAAAAATACGTACCTTAATATATTTGCTACTAAATGCCCTTTCATTCCATATCTATAAAGGAAAAGTAAAAAGCCATTTAGAAAAATCAGGATATGTCAATGCATAATGAAAGATTTTATTTATGTATATGCAAGATTATACAATCCATTAATGAACGCCATGGTTTCAGTTTGCTAGAGGAAAGTGCTCTGGTTGGTTTTGTTACCAGCTCTTCAGGGGAAAACTCTGTATGGAAGTTCAAAATAGTTGCTTGTTTATCTGTCTCTAAGGTCTACTGACTGCCTTCTTGCTGAATTCTAGAGCTGCTTGAGCTCTACAATGGTAGCAGTGTTACACGTGACATTATTACCAATGGGTCTACAGTTTGTTAGAAACCATTGAGAAACACATTGTGGCTTCAAGGTGTGGTCCTAACAAATGGGCCCTGTTGCCATACACTGACATAGGAGAGATAGACTTAGTTACATATCAAACAATTGCCTACGGTTTCAGGGGGTTATTCAATGACACTTACAGTTCTTTCTAATTTACACAGGACTATATCCATATTTGGAACACATGAGAGATCCAGCATAGTTTAAGTAAACAGACACAAAATGATCTCATCTCTGTTGCTCTGGATTTTCCATCTTTTATAGAAAGAGTGTTTAAGCCAAACACAGCTCAAAATTCAAAAGCGGGAACGCTGGTCTTCCTTTCTACCAAATACCCTGGCCAATAAAATGCATAGTCAGAAACCTTCTAACTTACTTTTTTTCTAACCACAACGTGAATGCTGTGACTCACATTCACCAGCAAAGGTGAAAGTATCCCCCGCAGGTATAGATTACCCAACCATGTACAAGCAGACAGTTTCTTGCAGGTGGGATAAGTCCATTTGATTTTGATATTTCTAGATCTTTCCATAAGTGCTAATATGTGTCTTGAGAAATGAGCCAATCAAACAGTTACTTACTGAAAGGCTCATTTCATCATAAAGCAAATAATGATATATAACACATGCTATAAACCATAAGAGCAGTAAAGGCTAACAATGTAGAATCAGAACAGCATTAAAATTGTTTTGACGGTTTCTGAGCCTTCACAGACCTCACTGCTTTCCTGTATTTCAGATTATACCCACAAAGAAATCAGACAATACGCAATGTCACCACACTGCCTGTAGAAGCAGAAATTCCCTTTTCTTAGAAGTATAGAATTCAGAAGGCCAATCACTGTGAAGTAACAACACAGAAGCCAGATATTACTCAAATACATAAAGTGCAGAACTTACGTTCTACTCTAAGAGCATAGCAAGGAGAAAATTTAACAACAATTGTTATCCCTGTCCCCCCAACTGATTTGCTGAAGCATCACTGTCTTACCCAAAGTGCAAGACTGACATAGCTGAAGTAAGTCAGCAACATCAAGGGGGACGCATTCCAGAGGAGATACACATCAGATATACCTTCCCACATTACAGCAGAAAGGTCAGACTTCCTCTGAGGGATGCGAACCATAGTTTCAGAAGCTTTACTCTGGACTGCTGAAGTGATTTTCAGCTTTTCTGCAGTTAAACAACTGTCTCATATCAAAACACTTAAAAGTCCAAAATAAGTGTTTCAGTAAGTATAGGACTGATTTTAGAGGAATCCTAGCCACAGATTTTCTTAATCAGAAGAAAAAATAACGAGTTGAATCTCAGTCAAATAATGAACTCGAAAAGTGTTTTTCCAGATTGTCTGCTTCTCTCTCATCTCCAAATTATGATATTTTTCCTCAGACATTCGTTCACTACTTCCATGTATTGCACTGTAACACAATACAGTAGTTATAATGTACTGTAACACATGCACCTTTATCTACTATAAATAACGCAGATAAAAATGGAAGAAGTTGTAAAGGATTGTCCTTCCGCAAAACAGTGATCATATTTTATGCCAAGAAGTCATGTTAGCTGACTTTCACAAACTCTGTCTTAACTAATGCTTTTTGTTAGCTGGTAACTGCTGAAACCCAAGCAGAACAAGCAAGGCAGAAAATGACAAGCCCAAGACTCAAACAGATTTCAGAATTCTCAAATTCTCTGGTAACTTTGTTCTAGAACTGGGAAGGCAGGAGACTAGCCATTTTACACTGGTTCTGCTTTAATGGCCATTATTGCAGAAAGACAGTAAACTAACATAACTTCTGCCTTTCCCCTTGCAACAGAAAAAGCAAAAACTGCAATTACAGAACAATTTCTCTTCCCATCCCCCTCCTCCAGTAATCAACAAAGATTGACGAGACCAAGATCTTAGGAATGAAGATAGATAAAATATAAAGGAGATTTTGTTTTACTGACCCCAATATAATCAATGTCCAAATCATGATACCGTTTAGCTCCTAATATCCAAGAAACAACATAGTAAGCAGTGACATCTGGGTAGTCATAGGGCCAGTTTTCACCCTTCCCTATCCATGCCGGAAATGTCCAAGGTAATCCTAGAAAGAGAGAAGAAAAACAAATGAATAAGATAAGTGGTCGGTCTACATTACTCAGTAAGCTTCAATAGCAAGGTGTAATTTGTTCTACCTAAAATGAAGGAGCAGATACGCACTTCAAAATTCACATAGTTCCAGTGAAGAGAATGAAACATAACTTATTTAACTGGAGAGTATGCTCTAATATAAATTGTGATCAAAGATATTAATAGCTGCTTATTTTTTTCCCCTGAGCTAGAAAATCTTCATTACTAGAGAACAACTGACTACATACAATCTTTCAATTGTGTGGTATTAGCTCCAACAGGTTTAAAATTCCAAAGATTTTAGGATAAAAATTTACAAAGTTATAGATTAAGGATCTATACTGAACACCAAAAATTGTTAATCTCCTGAATATGAATTTCAGAAGAAGTGATGATCTGATCATAATAGAGGAAGAAAGATTAGGATCATGAAAAAGCATTTCCGAGTCTCAGCTGTTTACTGGATTTTGTAGTAAATAAGAACAACAAATTAACCTAAGCAGATCCTGCTAAGTTTTCAGCTGACTTTGTATAAGACACCATAGGCTAATTCAAAGGCAAACCCTCCTTCCTTTGTTGAGAGACTGATCTGAGGGAAGAGGGAGATTATTAATAATCACAATTAGTCATAGAAGGTAAGCTTACCGCTTGCCACAGTGCCTGTCTAACAGAACCTGACTAGCAAATCCTGCACCAAGTCATGCCTTGTGAATGGACATGACAAAGCCTGATCCCTGGAAGAGGGGGGATTAGATACTTTTTAATTGATAGATTTCTTACTTTGTTTCATGTGAAATACATTTTGTGAAGTGTTTCAATTAAAATCTAGGGTTCCACATTTGTACTGTTACAGCATACAGCACACACACAACCCACAATCAAAACAGGGAGGGAGGAAAGTCCTCTTACAACTCAACTACATACATAAGACAAATCAGAAGACAAGAACCACTGTAGTGGGAAGGGGGTGATGGGTTTGTAACAAGAAGATATAATTGAATTTATTGCATATAAGATTTACAGATTTATACTTCCTGTAAGTTTACTTTATCCCTCCCAGGTTTTTTTACTCTATTATTCAGAAATTCAGCTCTCGTGATAGATCATTTATGTTCATTGCTGTGATACAGTCTAAGCATTAATGTTACTTGATACAAGCAAATGATTAGTCATTTCTTATCCTATGCTACTTGTTACGTACGTTCTTGTTATGCTACTTGTTACAGTAGTTACAGTAACAAAGTAAAACACAGTAAGTTTAAGTGAAGCATCAAGGCAAGCTTACTAAATATTAGAGACTCTACTTTGTCTACTGCAACATCAAAACATCCTCCCATTAAAATTAATATGCTAATTAAGGGTCAGATATGTAATTTAGTTAGGTGGAAAAAAGCATTTAAATCCTAAAGCTTGAAGCAATTTACCAATCAGTTTAATTTTGGGGTTCCTCGTTTTAGCTTCTTTCATCAGCCACCATTCATAGCCCCGGAAGTAGTTCTCATCATTTTCATAGTGCATATGGGAGGGCTCAGTGCCATCTAGGAAGGAAAGAGACAGGTAGCTCACAATTATCTTCTGTGTCATAAGCTGTTACACATTATAAAGTTTTCCATATTGCTCATTGCCACAGTATCCAAGCACATATCTCCAACATGGTTCACACATCCTTTGGTATGTATTTCAAAGCAAAATGAGTAGTGGGAGGGAACATGCAAAACTTGCCACCCTTCATTCTTAGTGTATTAACTTAGCATAATTTTAATATATTTCATTTTCAAGGGACTACACTTGCTTTTAACATCAGAATGTGATTAACTGTTGGGCATTTTCTATCGCTAGCTATGATAATACTAAATCTATATTCATGATTATTTTGGTCCCAACAACCACTAGGAAAGTTACAGCATTAAGATCAGGAAGGAAGAAAAAAAAAAAACATTTGTAGAACCTAAACTAAAAAGCAAACAAAAGAAGGTTATAGTTTGTTTCTTCTGTGCAAGGCAAGTCCAGGGAGAGAAAAGAAAGGAACTGCCATGAAGTTTTTCAGTGACAGGAAGAGATTTTTTTATTTTTATAGTAAAAGATCTAGTTTATAATCTCCATGGTGTTCCGTGACTGCAGGAAGAGTTTTTGGAATTGAAGGCTATGCACTGAATTCCCTCAGGCAAAAGGTAAACAAACTAGAAAGGTACAAAAGAATCAGTGTTGCATGGGAAGTCATTACACACAAAAGTCAATTAATAACTTGTGCACGCAACTGCAGCAATTACTTATGCTAAACTATATGCCTAATTGTTCCAGAGATCTCTTCCTATGAGAGTTTTTTTTTTTTTTTTAAAATGAAGCCTGCTGAAACAGCACATTTCATTACAGAAAATAGGATTGATTTTTTTTACCTTACTAACACTTGACTATTTGGAAGTTCTATTTGTCAGAGACATAGAACAACAATTAGATTCCAAACTTAGACTCCTAATCACACTTCAAACAGACTCCTGATCACACCTCTGAGGTCAGAATAAGAGCTGCAGCCTAGTGTGTTAAGACATATGCATCTTATTGTTCTCCTTCTAAAATCTGGAAAGCCATCACACAAGTATGTAACATTCTCCTTAGCCAGCAGGAAGAGTGTTTGAAGAGAAGGTCTGCGCATACATGAAGACGACTCCATTCTCCTCTAACCAGCAATTTATTGACCAAATACCGAGCTCTTAAACCCAGTATAATACTTTTCACCATGTTAATTTTTCTTAAGGAAAGTAAACCAAAGAATGAAAAACAATATCTAATTCCAAACACAGACATTTAAAAAAATACATATAAAATGCTACAAAGACAGATGCCATGCTTTGTATTTATTAACTGAGTCTGCTTTAAGTCTATTCTTGACGTGGCCAAGATACACTTCTGAGGGAAAGAAGAAAAAAAAAAAAGATACAAACTGTAGTCTAGTTGCTGCTTCTCAGCCTCCAATCACAAGCAGTTACTAAGCAGTTTCTCCTATATGTAAATATAGTAGGCTAGGCAAATTACACCAAGACATTTCCATTTGCAGTTGTGGCCAGGCAAAAAAAAAAAAAATAGTGCCTACTGTCAGACACCACCACTGCAGTGAAATGTAGCAGCTCTTTAAACCAAAGAAACATAATTGCTTCTGACCAGCTGCCTTCACATTTTCATGCTTTTAATACATAAACTACCTAGTCCTACACAATTTTTACAGTTTGTATTGCAAAACTGCTGTTTGAGAAATGCTTTGCAATTCAGAAAGCTACTAGAGTTTCCTTAATCTTGGGGGGGAAAAAAAGAACTCCTTTGCTCTAGAATGCAACCTATTAACCGTATGATAGTGAGAACCGTCTCCAGAATGTTAGTGTAAATTTCCTCTTCTACAAATTAGCAGACATTGTTTACATTTTTCTGCAACTTCAGTACAGCTACAGAATGCATCTCCATGCTTCAGCTAAAGTGACACGTGCAGGACACGTTACTTACAGTATCACTGCAACAAGAAGTTAAACCCTGCTCACGCAAAATCCGTACCTGTTGATTGTCCATCACCTCCAATCTCCACTTTGAGGATATGTAAAGAAGCACCGAAATTTGGCTAGAAAAAAAGAGAGACAGAAAAACAAACAGAAACCTGCTGATAACAAGAAGAATGCAATAAATAAATGTACAATTTTGAGGATGCTAAAAACTCAATACTTTTTTTTTTAAACACCCTTTATAGATGCAATGAGAGATTCTACAAAATTCTGCTTCAAAAGGAAATTGAGCAAGATAAATAGTACACTTATCTTTAGTCAGTTTAACTGACTCTTGCACCATTAACTTGTGTTAATCAGCTGTGCAGATTTTAAATTGCTTATGCTCAAGAAAATACTGAAGCACTCTTGAAGTAGAACATGGGCTATACGAGGAACACAACAGTATTTTTAGTGTTATTAGAAGTCAAGTTTGTTTTTTTTAAATCAAATTATTGAAGTTAATATTTCTGAAAATAATTTATTCTTTGCTGTAAAGGGTTACACGACTTATGTGAAAGAGCATACAAACGGGTCAGAAATAACCTGCTAACTACAGGCAGAAAGGCAAGAGAGAAAAAAAAACACCACACTGGAAAACAAACAGCCACCTAGTCCACTATCTTCTTCCCCTGGCCTCTGACTAGTGGAAGCAGAATATAAAATTCAAGCTCGTACAGGTGATCCTACTCCTAGTATGTTCTTCCAGCCATTAGTGGCTTAAGAGTTGCTCAAGCCAGAAGTTACAACTAATCATTATTTTAATAACCACTGATGAGCTGGCCTCCTCCATGGAATTACCCAAGTATAATTTTGGCATCTAAAAAGAGTTTTAAGATGTGAGAATGCAGTTTGATTAAAAAAATATGCTGCATAGACGATAGTTTGCTTGGCTTACAAGTTTTGGATTTTTTTATTTGTTTTTAAATAAGAAACAAATATTCCCAATTTACCATTTCTCTTCCTGACATTTCTGATTTTAAACTTCTAACACATTTGCTCTCCTATCCCCATCATGAAAGTTGACTGACATTAAAAGACAAGGAGAATGAGGCAAGGTATACCCCTCCCACGTATCTCATGACAGCTTAAGAGGTTTTGGTGAAAGAACATGTCAAATATTCTTTGAAAATCATGATCTCTCAGCTAGATTTTCTTTTACCACATGCCTATTGATTCCTTCAGAAAACTCATATTTGTAACACACAGCTTCGGTCTCCAAAAACATAGGTTTTGATCCCCCAGTCACGCATTATGCCCTACTCTACCCTTTAAAACCAATTCTTTAAACTACAAAGTAAATTTTTCCCCTCCAGCCATCTGGATTACACTACTTGAAAGTGACATGACATCCTCTTCCAGCAGAGTAATTTACAGTGCCAAAAGCAAAACAAGTTATTACTGTCCAGTACAATAATCTTACCATATATTAAGCTGGGAAACTCCACAGGTTACACTTGCTAACTAATGCAGCTTACAAACCAGTAATGTTCACACACCTTCTAGAGTAACTGCACTTATACTTGAGACTAGTTTGGAATAGATATACTACTGAAATGATGCAGTCTGCACAGTCGTTTTCACATTATGTGAATCTATCTGTACTGCAAAAAAATCAAAACTGTCTCAAAGACCCACTTCCTGCAATCGCTATGAACAGCTAAATCCCTCATTTTAACCTCAAGAACGATTTAATGCTCATTAAGTCCACATGGATGATCAAAGTATGTTGAAAACATATTTTTTAAAACATATTGTGAAAACATAAAAGGAATTTTCATAATAATTTGAAGAAACAGGCTCCTGAACAACATGCTGGTTGTCAAAAACAACAGCTAAAATTTAAGGTTCTGACCTTAAATCAACATTAAAGTAGATGCTTTACAAGATGGAATTTTGTCTAATTTCAAGTAGTACTGCATATACTATAGCAGTTCCAACGTCGCACAATAAGAAATTCTGCATGAAATCAGACATTATCGTAGCAGTGAAAATGACTTTACCTTGAACAGATAATCTAAAATCTGGGAGCGATAAGGTTCTTGGTAGTTCACCAGGAGTCTAGATGTGGCCTAAAATGGAAAGAAAACATGAAAATATGAAAACCTAACTTTCAAACATATAAGTAAATCCCAGTTTGTCAGTCTAGGACTTTCACATAGCTAATAAGCCTACAAAAATAATCATAGCACCAGGAATTCAGCGAAGCCCCTACAAAAACTCTTTTCTAACCCTTCCGTTGTGCATTTCTGGTTTCGTAGATTGCAATTGCCTTGTACTCCGGTTACCTGCAATTTACTGCAAAGAGAGTCCAGAGAATAGAGAAACAAAGAGATCTCACACACATCACAAGCAAAACGCAGCTCCCTCCCAGCACCATTTCTCGCGCTCTACTGGAATCTCCCTGCTTTGGCTCACCATATACCAAAGGCAACAGGAGCTCACGGGGCACACAGGCAGAAGGGCAAGAAAAGCAACTCAGCAGGTCCAAGAGTGGTAAGAACTCACAGGATCTCATAGCTCTGCTCGCTGGACCACAGGAAAGCATACAACTGGCTGTTGGCTCCTCCAGCGTTTTAAAACTCAGAGACAAGTAGCTAGGAAGACCCTCTACAGAAAAAACCTACCCCGGCTTAGTTCTCCTTCAACAGCACCGAGGATGTGGCTGGCCCTCGGCACCCCGAGCAGCCTGACGAGAAAGAGCCACTGCGCAGCTGACTGGAGGACAGGCACAAAGCTGGGCCCGGCTCCAGCTCACCTCGCGGCCAGGACCACTGCCCGCACAGCAGTGGACGCACCGGGGCCTCCAGGACTCCCCCTCAGAGACCCTCTCTCCCCTCAGCGACACCCCCCGGCCCAGGCCCCGCCGAAGCCTCGAGGGCCTGCACCGAAGCCCCCAAAGACTCCCACTGTAATCCCCCGCCCAAGCGCCCGTTGCAACCGCCGCCCCGAGGAGAGGATTAGCAGCACAGCACCGGAGGAGCCCCCACGCCCGTCGGCGCCGCTCACCCCGCCGCCGCTGACAGCCCCGAGCCCGTCGAACTGCCTGCCCAGCCCGCCGGCATCATCCAGCACGTAGGCGGCCGTCGAGAGCGCAGCGGCACAGACCCCGGGGGGCCTCGGGCCCCAGCTGCAGCCAAGCAGGAGCCAGCACCACAGCAGAACCGCGCACCCCATCCCGCCCGCTCCGCTCCGCTCCGCGCCGCCAACGGCGTCCCGGACGCACCACCCCGTCCCTACAGCAACTCGCCACTACCCGGCTCCGCGCGTCACGTGACCGCACAACCTGGCAATCACCGGAGGGCGGGGCGTGAGCACCCTTCGCCGCCATTTTGCTAAAGGGAAAGGCGAAGGGAGGGGAAGGCTTGCAGCCCTTACGGGCAACCCCCTCGCGGGTTGAAGTTAGTCGTTGCTATTTTGAGAAAGGGCGAGGCGAGTCCCGGCTGGTGGGACGTGTACCGCCGTGCTGGAATTGGGCACTGAATAGCGAGTGAAGCTATTGTGGAGCCATCTCGGGAGTGGGAAAGCTGGCTGGCTGTGCGGCGAGGCGGGGCGTGGGCGTCACGGCTGGACGGGGTTTCTCTGGGAACACACGGCGCATTGCGGTTAGTGCAGCATGAGCAGCCTGGGTGCGAGACTCGCGCCAGACTGACCTTTTGGGGGGGCCCCTGGCGAGGCACGGCCGTTTTCCTGGGAGAGGAATAGTGTTTCCTGGGGAACCTCTCACTCCCAGGCGCTCGCCAGCAGCCAGGTTCCTGGTTTTGCCCCGCTCTCGGGCTGCCACCAAATCCCTGGTACGGTAGGCGATAATCGGCACTTTGAAGGAGGAAATGCCAGCGCGCTGTGAGAAAGACCTTTCCTCGCTTGCACAGGAACGGGCAGGGGGCGGCCCTGGGGCACAGGGCCAGGCCCGCAGAGGCCCTGCCCCGCAGAGGGGTGCTGGCAGCCTCAGGGGCTTCCCTGGGAATCCCAGTTGGCCCCAGTTAGATCCGCAGCTGCGTCAGCAGGACCCCAGAGGGGGATCCTGGAAGTGGGTTGTGACTTGCGCCGCTAGCGTGGCTGAACAAGCCTTTCTGTTCTGCAGCCTTCGTGGGGCACGCCGCAGGGCAGCTGCGTAACAAACGGGCCCAGCTGAGGTGGTGCTGTGCCAGGCGTTGGAAGCTTCCGTTAGGATAGCCAGGGTGCTCCCTCAGACTCCAGCGCGTGGAAACATTCGCCTCAGAGGAAAAGTAATCGGGAGACTGGCGATCAGCTTGATTGTCCTATGAAAATCCTTAAAGGGGAACTGTCTGTCTGCTGACTTCAGTGTTTTACAGAGGCAGTGCTCCGGGTGCTTAAAGGAGGAATGAGGCACCGGGAGGTGCAGTGGCACTGACGTCATGCGGGCAGTGTGTTAGAGCTGTGGAAAAGTCCAGGTTTGCATGTTTCTGTCCATAAAGAATGCTGTCATTTGAGCCATTGCCTCTCTTGTCCATGTCATTGAGGGATCCAATGTCTCAGTGATGACTACCTGACTGACGTTTCCTGTTTATTACGTTTTTAATAACAATACCAAACACAAAACATTTTGCACTTTACAGCAATATCAAGCATTAACTAATGAACCTGCTCACACCCAAATGAGCTATACGATGTCATTATTACATGCAGAAGGACAGAGTGACTTGCTCAAGGCTACAGTGAGTCACTGGCAGAGGTAGAATTATGCTCATGGTCCTGATTCGCATTCGTTCCAGCAGACTGTACAGCTTTGCGCACCCGGAAGGTTTGCAAAACCATCATGAATTATTAATTGGTTAATTTTGATAATTTCTTAAATTAATGCATCAATTTATTCCAGGTAGAAGGCTTCAGCTGTGGAATTCAGTCTCTTATTCACTGAGAGGAGCCTAAAAGTGTCAGCTTTCAAAACTCATATTTCCATCCTATGATGTGCTGAGTGCCTCCCCTTTTCAGTTGGTATAGAAAAACATTCTTAGAATCTCTTTTGGTGGAAAGAAGAGGATATTTTGGTGGGACTCTGAGGACTTTTATTCTGCATTAGGAATCTCAGCCTTGCTTTTTACCTGTTTTTTTTCTTTACATCTTTGTCCATGACCCAAGGACATGAGATCTGGACCCTTTGTAAGCCCAAATATAACCAATAAAATTATTGAGGACTTACTCATTGCTTCTTTTGTAGATAATTTTCCACTGTTAATGCTGTTCTATTTCAGTTGTTCTTTCTTAATAGTACTTTAATCTCAGCCAACCCAAAGAACATCTGTTGTTCCGAGATGACTGATTTGAGATACCATGTATGTCCAGATCTCCAAAAAAACCTGGAAAACTGTGCTGCTTGCATCAGAAATTAAATTGTTCCACATGAACACAGTCAAGAGTTGCTTTTTGCATATAGCTTTACTTCCAGAATGTATAAAATGCATCATATCCCCTCTTGCTTCCTTTGATCTTTCAGTCCCACTATCAATTCTTACAGTGAAGAACTGTAGAAATGTATCATCAACTATGTTTCTCTATTTCTAATAATGATAAGAACTGCTTTTTCTTCATTGAAGTATAGAAACCCTCAACAGAACAGCAGAACCAGCTCACCAGACATTGTTCTTAGTAGGTACTATGTTAGGAAAAGGCAGGTGCAAAGTAATAAAACAGGTCTTTGTCTAATGACTTTTCTCTCAGTGAAAATAAAGGTTTGACTGAAATTTATTTTAGAAACTAATATAATCATCAAGTGGCTAGAAAGCCTCCCTTTCACCAAACTGGAGGGGGCTCTGATACCAATTCAGGAATGACCACAAGTATAGAATGATTTGATAATTTAGGCTTCATATAACAAGTGCATCAGTAGAAACACTGGATGAAAAAGTCATGCTCTGACTGGAAAAAAGAAGGAACCAAATCTCCGCATCCAGTGGTTAAATATTATAGAGCTGCCTGGTATTGTTCTCAAGGAAGTCAGTATGTGCTATTTTAGAGCTTTTAAATTTGCTCATCTGTTTCATTTCTCCTTAGCATGTGAATCATCAAACAGGCCAGTTTTTGTGTTACCCAATAGACGTATTTAAAGTGAAATTGTACCCAGTTTCTTAGAAGCAGAATTGAATTGTTCCAAACAGAATTTAAGAAAAAAATCAGAGCACACAATAATTTATTCTGATCACAGAGGGAAAAGAGAAACTGTGCTCATGTAACAATTTTCCACCTGTCTAATGGAATAGAATTATTTGTTAAAAGAATCACTCCTGTGAAAGCCACATCCAACCTTAGATTCAGTTTATATAAAAATATATAAATATGCAGCCTGTTGCAGTGCATAAAATTCTATTATCCTTTGTTAACTAGAACTGTTCACAAACTTCCATCAGTAGGCAAATGGAAAAAAACAGTAATGCAAATTCTGAAAATAATTAATTCTTTTTGCACAAACTCCTAAGGTCATTGTCATATATTTTTATGGGCTCTTCTTAGGTGGATTCTTACTTGATTCTGTGATAAATTTATTGGGAAAGGCAAGTGACAAGTCCTTTACTCGAAAAAAGACCCTATGTTTTGAACATATACAAGTAAACACAAATAAATACATATACACTCCACAGTATTTTATTTCTGTGGAGTGGTTTCGCTGCAGAATATATTGTGTCCTAGATAAGAGGTTTGTAATATACTCCACTCATGTAATTAGGCAATATTTTCAATAAAACTGTTATAAACTTACTAAAAGCGTTCCTAGTTTTACCAAGGTTGGTACCATCCTTTGTGCATACTTCTACGTAACTGTTGCCTTTTTTTCCATGGATAAGTTTAGATTATAAAAGATGATAAAAAAAAAAGGCAAAAAAAAAATTTGAGAGACGTATGAGCTATTGCCTCATTGGTGTATCCAAAAGCAGCTTCCTGTTGCTTTATCTGATGAAGCAGTTTTGCTTCTCAGAAGCAGACACGGGTTACACTACCGATGGCATTAGAGTGAAACTGCTACACGGGGACACATGGCTGCCTAGGTAAGTGTTCAAAATCCAAGAAGTCAGATACACAGCTTATGCTCTGGTACAGATTTCAGCCTCGCTCTCCCTTAGTGTGATGCTGACATCATACAACAAAAAGAAGGGATGCAAAAGGGGCTGGGAAAGGTTGCTTTGAGAGAAGGAGTATTTCACTCCCAGCACAAGTGAAACATGAGACAAAAGGGCAAATGATATCAAAAGATTGAATTAGGAAAGACATGCCAGCTTGATTGTTGTAATGGTATTGCCATGATCAAAATATCTGTTGCTTAGGAGAGGGGGGGAAAGATGGAGAAGAACGGTATTTGGGGGTGCGTTTTCAGGATTCTGTGCTGTCCTGTCTTCACTGCAAAAAATCCCTCAGGCCTCACAGGGGGTTCCAGTAGCTCTTCTGTTATTGTTCTCTCATATCTTATGGCACTAACAAGGTACTCAGTGCTATTTATATGAATATACACAATGCTTAAAACTTAGAAGAAAAATAAGCTGTGCTAAAAGTAGCTTCTTAGAATACCAAGTATCATGTACATGAAAATATTTTGTACAGCATCTGTCTGTATGCATAGGGGAAAACACGATGCACGTGAAGATAGCAAAATAATACTCACCTGCATGGCCTACAGCCTAAAAAACATAGATTTTTTTTCTATTTGCTCATGTTAACAGAATTTTTATGCTCTATAAGACAGTCCATAAAGTGTATCTCAAAGTTAAAAAGACTGAGCTCTTTTAGACCTGTTTAAGTCTTTACAGAATCTTATGGAGACCTGTGAGTGAAATTTAGTGTTGCATGAGGAAAAATGCTGTTCATTTTAAGCAAAAATGTCCATGTTACTGGAAGGCATATTTCAACTCTCCTAAACTGTGAAGTTTTTCAGAATTAAGTTTTGAGATCTGCTCATTAGCAAAAAAGATCCAGCTATGGAAGGTCCTTGTACTTGAGGAAATCAGCTTGGCACTGTAACTTATTTTGAGAACGCAAAGTAATCTAATTTATTGAAATTGCTTTGAGAGAAAAAAGAAATCAAGAAAACCATCTGTCCTTCCATCTTACGGCTGATATAGAATAGCACCAGTACAGCAGCGACTGCACTAGCTCACACAATGTTGTTTTCTTCCCCTGAACCTTATCTAAAAGCAAAGTACTTGAAAAAACTTACCACATTATAATGAACAGTGCTTACAGCAACCTGCCCTTTTATGAACTTGAATTTGAAATAAAGGGTGAAATGTATCGGTTGCAGATATTTCCAAAACTAAACTGGTGTTCATCAGCTAATAGAAGATTTTGTTTTTAATTAGTGACTAAACTTTTCTGTTAATAACACAAAATCCTTACGGTCTTCTTCATCTTCCTTAATTTCCCAAACTATAGTAGAATTCATTTATCTGAAAAATAAAAAACTCTTCCATTCTTCCCTTAGAAAGTTATGGGTAAAAGTATGGAATATCATTTTGTATTTGTGCTTATGAAAGTATAACTTTATACTTACTTTGTTACTTTCAAAATGTCTTAAATGGAGAGACCGCATAAAGCTCTCTTTGAATCTGAAAAGGTTACTGTAGGAATGCATCAATACAAATACAGTATGTAATGAGTACTTTTCTCCAGAAACTTTCACAAGGTTCCTTTATAGGCTTGTTTGCATACATTATTTGCATAGCATTTGCTAGTCCATTTCTCTAAATTTTATGTCTGACTGACTTTCTTCAGAGTTCTTGTACAGCAGGTTTTCTGTAGCAAAATGACAGAGACAGGGACAATGATAATCATTGAATAATGTGGCTAAAAGAAAAAAATACTGTTGAGAATTTTTTTTTTCATTTGAAACACATCTGATACCAAAACAAGTCTGTAAAATAAGTCGCAAGTCTATAGAATTAGTCACAGTGGGTTTGGACCATGAAAGTCAAACCATTAGACTATATCGTTAAACAGAAATTCCTCGATAGGTTTTTAGAAAAAAAAAAAAAATCAGTGGGAAAACTTGTCAAACATTGTGTTTTAGGATAGCTGTAAGTCAATACCATCCTCCTGGCCAAAACCAGCAGGTACACTCAGTAGGTGAGAGAAAACCTGGAAATGCTTCAGATCATGTGTTCAGGTAAGACAAATCATTTTGCATTACATAGTCCTAATTATCAGGAAGAACCTAAGCAAGGAAGTATGATATGGACCGCTTCCCCTAAGATAAGGCCCCAAGTAACTATAATGAAATGTGTTGTAATTAGGGCAAAACAGCACTTTCTGCTTTTATGTTTCTGTGCAAGAAACTGCAGCATACATTGTGGTATACTTCACTTGCTGGCTCTTTGACACACTTCAGTATAGGTCATCAATACATGCCAGAATGACACACTTCTTGTTATTCTCATTGAAAGCATGTCCTCGTGTAAGTAGCATCAATGTGTCATCAAAGCTAGGACATGGATTACCTGGGGAATTTTAGACAGCCTCCAGGGCTTTGTTCATAGAAACTATTGATGATACTGGTTAAAAATAAAAGAAAACCATGGGGTACAGTGACCTGTGAACATGAAGGACAGAAAAAAATTGCCAAGGTGGCAAATTTCACGTGATCTCAACCCTCTTCTTTGAATCCCATCTTCAGTGTCCCAGCCTGCCATTAGCCAGTTATATCTTAAGATATTAGTTCCTTAAGGCAGATGGCAGAAGAGCAAAGGAAGGTCTTGCCCCAAAGAACTTGTGGTTTATTCAGACAAGTGCAGTATAAGGACAAGTGTTTTACCTTATGATCAGTGAGATTAACAGAACAAAAGTTTTAGAAACAATGAGCTAAAAAGAGAAAGCTGAAGAAAAAAAAGGTGCATGGCATAAAGAAATTGGCACGTTGGTCTGTGAGTAGATATGAAAGAGCTGATAAAGGTAACTGTGAGAGGAGCTGTTGTGAGTAACGTGGAGACAAGTCAGGAGCTTGTAAGGATGATGAGTTTGTAATATAACAAGTCGACTAACAATGGAGAAAGAGTTTGTGGGGGAGGGAGAAGGAATTCCAGTTTCTCTGTCACGCAACTAGTAAACACTGCCTCATACACTTGCTACATTACACACATGCTTCTCAAAGGGCACGTTTCCCTGTTAGACATTAAGAGACCTGTCATAGGAAAAGAGATGCTAAAATGTGACTAGAAGAAGAGGTAGGTATTTTATCTTTTACGCATCTGGTCAGTTTGCATATGTTTGCTTTGCTTTTGGTGAGAAGTGGGTCAGCAAAACCCTGGGATCCAATTTGTAGAGCTACATTTTTAATTCACGATACTTATCTATACCGGTAAGCTTACAATGCCCTATTTACCGTGTGGTTTTATTAAACCTCACTGAAAAGCAGACATCTTATGTTTGTCTTAAATATAGACACTGCGGTTTTTTTAATTAGTCATCATGTAAGTAAAGCTGCTCAGTGGACCAAATTGGCAAGTCCTTCTCAACAATTTTTCTTGTCTTTCAAGTCTGTGAATGAATTTAGCTCTAACCGTGAAAAGTTAGCCAACTTGATCAAATAAAGCAGTGGCTGGTAAAATCAAATATGTGCTTTCTGACTAGTTTTGTCATCGCTCCTTTTTTTCCTGAATATGCATGAAAGTTTTTTTTTATAGAAAAGAGATCCATATAATAACCTCTCAACAGAGGCAATAAACCTACTTGGGTTTCTCTGGTAAACCCACAAACCTACACACACATCGAACCCATAAAAGGCAGAATGAATTTGCCTACCACATGGGAAAATCCCTGCACCCAAGTTGTCTTAAGTTTGAGCTGTTTCCTGTGTGGGAACAGTTGTAGATGGTGCGTATATTTGGCAGTAGAACTGGACCACAACAAATACTCCCCATTCTCGTATTTCCTGAACTTAACAATTTGATCTTTGGAGAAGAGAATTACTGAGTGTCAGAGCTGTGATATAATCAGTGAGTACCAGCTGTCTCATAGCTATGGTTGTACACCTTTCCTACTTAAAGGTCAGCTCGTCTAAGTGCTTCTGAGGCTCACGCACACGACTCCTCCAGTCCCACTGCTTTAGTCAGGGCTGCCGTTTTACTGGTATTTTCATGTTGAAGCTGCTGACACCCACAGCCCTGGTCATGCCTAAGATAAGCTTAATTGCTAATGGTTTTATAAACTCATGCATGGCAACTGTGATTCTTAGAGGAAAGAAGCGTAAATGAAAAATTATACTCAGAGTCTCCACCTCACATGAGTCTAAGTGACACCCTGGCAGATTCTCCTGTGCATGCAGGAACCCAATAGCCTGCCAGGTTTCACATGAGGGTTCCTGGGACTTGCAGTAAGCTTTGCTGAAATAGCACAGTTGATGGCAAGTTCTTGGGGGATCACATACAAAGGAGGGGAGGGGAAGCGGGGAAGTGTGAGGATGCAACAAGACAAGAGAGTGATTCGCAATAGGGAGACAACCAGCCACACATTCTCCTCTTCTGAGCAGATCCCAACATCTAGCAGTACCTGAATCCCTGTCTTTCTATCCTTGTCTCTCCATTGACTGAGAGGGGAGAAGGTTATTGGGGATAAGAAATCTGCCATATTCGTATGGCCAAAACCCTATTCTGCTCACCAGAATAATAGAAAGTGCACTTCTGTTATTTGTGGCGCATTCTGATCTCTTTCAAGTCTCCCACAAGAGAGACCTGGGACTTCAGGACCCTATCCCTCTGGAAGTGTCTTAACTACTCATCCTGCTTGTGCTGTAGAAACTTGCATCTGACTGACCTTGACCACCTTAGACATTTAGGTTCCTCTTCCTATGTACTCCTAACTCCAGGAGTGTTTAAAACCTTTGATCTCCTACAAACACAGTTTCTTTCTTCTAAAAAAAGACACCCACCAAGAAGCCCATAAAAAAACAAACAAAAATGTTGTTACAGCTGCCATTTTTCCTTTTTGGTAACAGAAGGCTGGAATCTTACCAACCAGGTCCTGAAGAACTAACAGATGACCACCTATCAGACTACAGAGGATTTTTATTGCATTCAGGCTGGAATTAGCCCAAAGATACTACTCGGGGTGGACAATGAACAACACTGCTAAGTGCCATGATGATCACACCCTGGATAAGTATTTGTTTCCATTTGTGTATGGCATTGTGATGATAATCAGTATTCCCACCAACTGCATATCTCTCTATGTATCTTGCATTCAGGTGAGGAAAAAGAATGAGTTAGCAGTCTACCTCTTCAGCCTATCCCTGGCTGACCTTTTGTACTCTCTGATTCTGCCTCTGTGGATTGATTATGCCTGGAATGGAGATAACTGGAGGCTCTCTGCCTTGCTTTGTCAGATTTCTGCCTTCCTTATGTATATGAATTTCTACACCAGCACTGCGTTCCTTGCTTGCATCTCTGTTGACAGGTACCTGGCATTAGTTCATCCCTTGAAGCTCCAGCACTTGCGCACAAGAAGAATTTCGCTGATTGTTAGCATAGTTGTTTGGCTTCTGGAAAGCATCTTGAATTCAGTCATATTGATGACCAAAGAAGTATTCAATGATCCTTGCGATTTCACTAATCATACATTATGCTATGATAAATACCCCCTGGAAACGTGGCAGGCATGGATAAATTTATTCCGGATATGCTCAGGGTACCTGGTCCCTTTGATAATCATCGTGTTTTGCTACCATAAAATCTACAAAGTAGTGAGGTGTAATCAAGCCACAGTAGATGAAGAAAAGAAAAAAGTGAAGAAACTTATTCTGAATATCACAATTACTTTCATTGTTTGCTTCACTCCTTATCACATTATATTGCTTATTCGCAGCATCAAAGAACCTTCCACCCCTGACCCACAGCTTTTTCAGTTGATGTATAAGGTTTACAGAATCACACAGGCCTTAACAAGTTTGAATTGCATTGCTGATCCCATTCTTTACTGCTTTGTGAGTGAAACTGCACGAACAGACATACTGAATTTGCTCAGGTGTTGCTTGTGCCCACGAAAGCATGAGGGAGACTGAGCGAAAGACCATGCTCTGTGCAGTTCTGCTACGAAGAGCAGTGCGCTGATCACCTACAGAACTTCCTGTGAAATGGAGACTGTCAGAAATGCCTGAGTGAGCACATTCAAAGCCAAATTGGATAACCTAAGGGGAAAGAAAGAAAAATTCTTCCCCAGTCTGTACCTAGGAAATACCCCAAAAGTCACAGATACTAATCTAAGTGAAACTAGTAGCTGGACCTAATAAAAACTTATTACAGGGTAAATGAAATCAATGGAGCACCAACACGTATCTTTAAGTCAGGCGTGGTACATAAATCAATGTCAACAAACAAATGCACAGTCAAGAAAGATGACCATGACACACTGACAAAATTACTGAGGATCCTGCACAGAACTGCCTCCTGTCACAGCTTGCTAACGAGCCCACGTGCTGGGCATACACGTACTCAGCTGGAGGAAGGCTGAAGTCCTCTTAACCTAGTCATTTGTTTTCCAGTTTTAGTAGAAACCTAAAGCTTACCTGGGAAGGACCCCCAAAAGGGATATTTTTTTTTTTTAAATCAGTACTGTGATAGAAGTGAATAAAGCATGCACAGGCATGGAGATCAATCAAGTGATTGACAAAGGGGCAGACAGAGGGAGGGTGGTAAATCTCTCTAATTTCATGGTGTAATTTATGCTGCTATGATGGTTCCTGTGTTTCAGTAATGACTCAAGTTCTTCAGCATACCCCTGAGATGAGCCACTTCTTAATCTTGTTTACCTCATGTGGACGGGTGCTTACCTGCTCCTAAGCTTTTCAGCTTTTGTTTTCTTTGGAAAATATATGTTCTAACGTATAACCATATGTCATGCAGTTTCATTACAATATCAATATTGGGTTTCAGATAGTTGAAGATTCGTTACTTCAAGTGCCTATAAAGAAACAAATTCTAGCCACCAGTGGTTTAACTCAGATGAAATTTTTCCTGATACGTGCAAGGAGGAAAGGGAAGGATTGAAAGGTGAGGTTTCACATCTCCACAACGTAAAGGACCAGCCTTTAGCCTCGCTTATTATGACTGAAATCTGGAGTGTGGTTACATTTGCAGAGTCAATAGAGCAAGAAGGTTTATATCCATTTACTTAACTGCACCTGGAGGCCTCAGCGAGCAGTTCCAGGGCTCTCAGTCTGCCAGTTTTAAAAAAATCAAACAACAAACCAACAAGCAATACTGACAAACCAGCAAAGAACATGAATTTACCAACAAACAATAATAATGGCAGCAAAAGAACCCACATTTTGAAAGGGTTGAAGTTAGCACAAATCAAAAGCATAGCTGTTAATTCAGGGACCTGTTCCTGCGCAGACCCCTGCAATGGCTGTGTGGTTCCCTGGTAGCGGCAGGCACTCGACCCTCTGAAAAGAGTTAAAACACCATGGAAAGTCTTTTATTTCTCCTCTCACAACCTTTTCACTTTTGTTCAGTTGCCAGGAAGAATGTTTGGTTGTAGTGGTCATCCAGTTTCATAGGGAAAAAAAATTCTTTCCATCAAAAAAAATCCCCCTCTAGCAAGTCTGTGTAGTGGAAAGATTTTGACCAGCACTTTTTCAGCACACTTCTAGGTCTGACATTATACTTGGAGGATGAGCATACAGTGGTCACAAACAGTATGGAAATTCTTAGGAGAAGATCCCTCTGTGTGTAATTACAAATTTCTCCATTACAAAGAGCCACTTTCATTGTTTTATGAGTTCCTGTTTGTGTCTACACTTTCAATTAATTTCACATTCCGAGAGGGGAAGTTGAGAAGCTGAGGAGGCTGGGCTTGTTCAGCCTGAAGAAGAGAAGGATTTGGGGGACCTAATGGCAGTCTTGCAGTACCTGCAAGGAGGGTATTGAGAAGATTGAGCCAAGCTCTTCACAGGAGTGCATAGCAAGAGGACAAGAAATCATGTACATAACTTGAAGCAAGAAGGGTCAGAGTTGGTGTAAAGAAAAACTTTTGAACTATGAGGACTGCCAAGCAGTGGAGCAAAGACGTTCTGCATGCTCCATCCTGACAGGTTTTCAAGACCCAACTGAACAAAGCGCTGAGCAACCTGGTCTGGCCTCATAGCTGACCTTGCTTTGAGCAGAAGGTGGGACTAGAGAATTCCTGAGGTCCCTTCCAACCAGAATTGTCCTGTGATCCTATGAACTGTGTATGTCACTATTCTGGCTGTTGCCTTCCTCTCTAAAATGTAAGTTCCCTTCCCTTGTTTTTTTCCATTTGCTGGATTTTATTTTGTTTTGATGTGGGGTTTTTTTCTGTAATACCTTCTTATATATTATGAAGGAAAAAGTATGCAAGCAGCAGTGCACAGATGACTTCACCACAGACTTGTTCCTGTGTTGACCTATGTATTTTGCAACAGAATGTGAAATTTCACTGCAGCACTGAAATAAAAGCAGAACCGAGCTTCACTGTAACTTCATGGAAAAAAGAACTCAGTGGTTCATTTCTAGACCTTTCACATGCCAGAAAGGTTGGAAAGTTAATTCTGTTGGGTTTTTTAATTTATTGTGAATAAAGAATAATGAAAACTAAAACTAAGCAACAAAAGTGAGTCAAATTTAACTTGTGCATCAGGGAGTAGTGAGAGCTGGCTGCTCTGCAAGGGACGGGGAGCCAGGACCTGAGGGAGACAGCCAGGCAGGCTGGGCAGCATCCTCACCAGGAGGCCATGCAGTCCCACGGCACCCCAGCGAGGCACACAGAGCAGGTCTGGTGATGGTAACCAGCGTTGGCCAACAGCTCAGTGGTCATCAGACAAATCCGTAGTGACGAGGCAGGTCTGAGGTCAAGCCAGGAAGGCAGGGTTGGGATCAGCAAGGTACGAGGCCAGGCACGGCCGCACCATGTCAGCACTGGCCTCCGCACAGGCAGCCAGCCCCAAGGAGGCAGGAGAAGAGACCACAGACTGTTGGTAAGCTTAGGGCCCTGACCCTGCACAAAGAGCCTAGTTTGCACAAAATTTGGCTCTGAGATTTTATACTTTTTAATATTCCACCAATGCTCATGATAGCCATAGCTTGGATCAGCTTACATTGGTATGTGTGGATGGTTTTCATAGCATCATTTTCTATAGTACGTCCCTGCATTGCTGAAGATCCACTTCAGGATAAAGGAAAACAATGACGATGGCTGGCCTATAGGCTGGGCTTCATGAAAAAGTTCAGATACGTTCAGGGTCCTATCACTTTATGATAATAAAATGTAGGTACCTAATCCCTTAGATTGTTCTGAAATGCTCAGTATATGTGTTCAAACCACAACCCTCTGGAGAAATGAGGAAATTTTTAGATGTAGAGACTACAATGTCCTGTACTTCAATCATTTGTGTATTTACCTCATTATTCTTACATAGCTAAAAATTTACACTTTTTTCATTCTCTCTCCAAATTTGTTTGTCCCAGCTGGACAAAATTTACTGTATGAAAGTGAATATCTATGTTTTTTTTTAAATTGCAGTGTTACAGGAGAGGTACTTTTCACTATGCAAAAATGGCATAGTGAAAAGTAAATTTCTTCATCCAGGCTCCAATCCACGCTGTGTATTGTTATTGAATATTCCACTTAAATTCCTGGTGGCTCTGCAGGCAAAAAACAAGTACAAATTCACAGGAACTGTTCCCATGTAAGGACATGCCTTACAGAAAAGAGTTTACAAAAACCAAATATCTATTTAATGACAAGAAGAAATGCATGCATTCAAATTCCATTTTCCTCACAGACAATGCCTAAAAGCATTAATGTATGGCCTCAGTGAGGCACTGTAGTTCCTACCTCACTTCCCAATCTATACAATAAGAATATGGATAATTAAAAGGGATGCGATGGTAATTTAGTTAATATCCACAGGGTATGAAATGTCAGTGCCAAATGATATTGTTGTCAGCATAATAACAGCAGAGGTGAATTTATATGTCAATAATTCACTTAAAGCAGAATCCATCTGCCAAAAGTCCAGCAAAGATATAGCTCAGCTTGGTAAGTTGGGAGCTTTTCAGTGAACTGTGGTGACCTAGTTGGTGGTATTTCAGACTTCATTTAATCTGTTTTTCCTAGAATCTTAGTCACAACCTGCATCGCTGCATTCATGATACAGATCATTATTCTTTTCTGATGTAGCTACACATCAGCTTTGCTTTATTAATGTCAGTAGGGTCAGTCCTGACTCACATGGTTGTAGGCTAACAGAGACTCTTGCCTAGTCTTTTTTTTTCTTTTTTTTTTGAGTCTCTAACACGTCTAACTTCAAAGCCACTGAGAAAGATGAAGCAAAGTGTGAATTTGAGTTACAAGATTAAGATATTCCACTTCCTGTTTCCATTCATGGAGAATGACGCTACTAAAATAGTTCTGATTAGTCTGGTGACAATCTTCAGCAATGTCACTCTTAATTTAATGCCAGTAAAGAAGGGAGCATTGGGCCATAGTTTAGCCATGTGCCACTTTCCATATTACTTTCCAGCTTCATCAGTGCCATCATTGGTCTAGTTCTTTATTTCCTAAGGTGGTAAAGGAGCAAACTGTTCATTTGCTCCCCGCCTCCACACAACATAGAGAGAGAACATGGGTGAGAGTATTAGGGCGCTTGGGACCAGCACGACCACAATGGCAGAAGATCTGCTTGCGCAAAACAAGGCTGCAGGGAAGGAAAGCAAAGCATGGCTCTGAGCTCAGCAGAAGCCAGGGGCAGCGGCTGCACCCACAGGCCAGTGCTGCCAATTGCCAGGGTTTTACTTCTGTGTGAGACAGCAGCTCCTCGTGGTCCCAGAGCCCTGTAAGATGGCAGCTTGCTCCTGCCCAAGGCTGCCTGCTGCGCTGCACCTGCAGGGTCCCCAACGGTACTGATCCAAGGCGGCATCTGATAAGTGATGCTCCGGCGCTAGTAAGGGGAAAGAGACCAAAATACCTTGTGCCTATTGTAAAGTTTTTTTCTGTTATCGCTGCACCACAATGGCTGTTACTGATAAATTGCTAGCCTAA